CGTGGTTTGTGGAGAGGAGCAGAGCAGGGGCCACCATCTCTGGAGCTGTGTGATGCTCCCTGTAAGGACACCTGGCCAAGAGCTGCCCTTCTCTGGGGGATACCTCAGCGAGTCGCAAATCTGTGCCAGAGACAAGACAGAGCTGCATTTCAGGCACTGGATCTGGGGTGGGGCTCAGAATTTTAAGTTTGGGCTTGAGAGCTGTGGTTTAATAATTCCCTAGCAAAAAAGAGAAGTCCAGGTTCATCCTGGCTTGCTGTACTTCTCAGTAATTCTTGCTCTGGGGCTCTCGTGCACTTTCATCGTGTCCTTGTGCAGCATTTAGCTTGCTCCTTGTGCTTTGCTTTGTGAAGTTCACAGCAGCTATTTTGCACATCCATGTAACAGCTTGAGACAAATGTGGATTTTTGGGGGAATAAATCCCTGTATTTTATTTCAGTATTTTAATGTGCATTTGCTGGTTATCTTTTATTTTAGAAACATCCGTGAATATTTTGGGATCGACCTAAATGTCACATTGAAGTGTAATGTCTAAACTTTCAATGTTCAGCAGTGAAATTAAGTCTGGACAGAAATGGAGGGACTAATTCTGCTTTTACATTGTTCCTGGATTAATGTGGCTCCTCAGGGATCCCCAAGATGAACATAAATACTACTGGCAGGATCTGGCCTGCTCCCAGACATGACAGTGATAAGACAAGAGCTGTTAAGTCTTGTCCAGCTGGAGGAATGTTCACTAAAGATTGCGAGTGTTGTGCTGGGTTTTGTTCTAATAACATTTCTGTGTTCTTTGGCAGATCTCTAGGAACTCTCTGGCCTCCAAATGAAATACTGCCTGCATTTTTTTCAGCAAAAAAATTATTTCTATTTGACACTAAGAAACACCTTTTAAAGATTATAAAGAAATTTGTTCAGAACTCTGCCTTGATGGTTATGGATGATTTTCATGAATGTTCAGCTTGACCTTGTTTCACTTCCTGAGAATTGTACCCTTACATTTGTGCTTTAACTTTGGGTAGAGTAAACAATACTTGTTTTATTTTTTTTTCCATTGGCAGAAGGGAAGTCCACTCTGAAAATTCAATCTCAGAAAGAGAGCACCTCGTTTCCCAATTCAGTCTCAGAAAGAGAGCGCCTCGTTTCCCAACTCTTGTTGCTGCTGAAACACTTCTGTGAGCATCACTGTTAATGTGTATCTGGACATGGTTTAGATAAGCCTGAAAACATGATCTTTATGATTGTTGATTCAGCATGTCTTTTTTGTTGTTGTTTTTGTTTATTTGTTTTATATATATATATATGTAACCAACTTGATGCTGCAGGTCTGGGCTTCCATACTAATTTATGTTCCAACAGAATGACTGAGATTGCCTGAAATTTATGTGACTCTAAAGAATTGTGAGCTACTCTTAAGAATTTCTTATGTTATTTTTTTCTTTTGGTCTGTGTCTGATGTATGCTCCTTTTTTTTTTGTTTGTTTTGTTTCTGCTAATAGGCTCCTTGGGATGCTTCTCTACCACAGTATTTCTATCTGAGACTCCAGTTTATGAGTGCCATTTTTTCTTCTCTCTCTTGTTTTCTTTGCAGAGCATACATAGACAGGTAACTTCACAGATGTTTAGTCAGAGAAGTAGCTGATTGTTCCATCAGATTTTGCTTTTGGCTCTGTCTTCCCAGGTTGGCCCTTGTTTTTGAGATAACATGTCAATGTTTTTACTTTTCTCGCCAGGCATATTTTATAAATGTAAAAATATCATCAAGATCTGCTTCTTTCTTACATTCTCATGAATGAGTAGAGCTGAAAGTAATTTGGAAAGCACTTCAGATCCATTCCTTCTTCTATCCATATGTTCTTCATATGGAAGCCTTCAGCTCTTGTAAGTTCTTACAGCCACGATCTATTGTTTACATTTCTGCACAGCCATCCAACTTGGATAGAGCTCCTGACTCCTGACCCAGCTGGCTGCAGCTGGGCACTGAGGTCCCTTTGTCATCTCTGCCACTGGAGTCCTCCTGTAGTGCTCTGGTGTCGCTGTTGGTACACCCAGGCAGTGTGTGAGGAGCTCCACTGCTGCCCTGCCTGAGTCAGCTTCAGGTGTTCTGTGCTCCATGGTGCTGTTCCCTCGGAGCTGCTTCCTTTGCTGTGTGGCTTGGAAGAGACCAAAGCCTCTTGGTTTCTCCATCAGCAGAACTTTTAATTCTGTTGTGTCAGGAGAGAGAGCCTGGAAAGCTGACTGCTTTTCTCAGCAGTGTGTGTGCAGCTCGAGCACCTCACGAGAGCTGCAGTAGCTCACACCGTGGGTGATGTCTCTGACATGGGAAGCTCTGAAATGAAAAGGTAAGTTGGGTGTCTTACACACTGGTACATGTGCAGATCTGCCACATCTTCTCCACAGTGCTGCGGAATGGAAAGTCTTGTGATGAAGGGCCAGAGCCTTTCCTCCCTCTTAGCTGAGCTTTCATGTGGATGAGTGTCAATGTGTCCCCTGATGATTTTTTTTTTCTTATTGTGCTCATATCTTGGAAATGGAAATTTTTGAAGACCTCTTTCTAGAGCACAATGAGCTTGCTTTCATTCTCCCAGGACTGTGACGACATATCTGAAGGCTTATTTGTCTAAGAAGTTACTTTCTGTCTTTGATTGCACTGTCTTTGATGTGCAATTCTCTAGAATCAAGATATCTAACAGTAATTCTTTAGCTTATACCATGATAGATGTTCTTTTGTTGTAAAATGTTTTCTTTCATGTATTTTTGGACACTGACATAACTGAACCTCTGGTTTGGCCATTCCTTTTACCCTTTTTTCCCTTTTTTATAAAAAATACACGGTTCTGTTTGTACCTCCTACTTGAATCTTGATGGCTGCCCTTGCCCTGCCATATTTTCATACATGTAAGGCTGAAAAGAAGTGCAGAAAAACAATCCATTCTGCCTATCCACAGCCACCTAAATTGGACAGTGATCAAAACTATCTGTCTAGGTCTCCCTGATTTCTGAGGGGTGAGAGCAAGGGCTCTACAGAAAGAGGTTTGCTCAACCTCTTTAGAATGCACTTCTAAGCATGGAATGCATAAAGGCAAGCAAGGGGGCTTTGTTTGCCTTTTTTGGTGAGCTGTAAAATTACCTTAAACAATTAGTTTTGGCTTTTGGATACAATCCTTGGTGTGTTTTTTCATCATCTTTGATTTAGATTGAGGAAAATGAGGTTACAAGAGTTCCTCATCACAGTACAGTATGGTTCTTGCTCTTAAAATATTGCTCAGAGATCATCTGAAATTGTCGTACATTTTCTAGTTTAAAAAAATCTGATCTCCTTGATGATCTATACTGAAATGTGTTTCTGAGTGACGGGGACACTTTGCAGGTAGATTTATTGTGGTTTTTACCATCTGCTTTAATAAACGAGTGAGCAGAGCGTTTCAGAATGACCTTCGGTTCTACACCTGAGAGATGAGTTTGAATGTTCTGAGTGAATTATGGGCATTAGACAGCTAAGGGTACTTATTCTGGAAATAGTGATTTACCAGTTGTTTGCATGCTGATGCTTTTATTTGTCTGGAGATATGCTAATGTGCATAAATGTTGTGTTTCCACATAGCTGCAGCTTTAGCCACAGTGGAACTTTCTGTGATGTGGGGGCATAGGCAGCAGTCTCATTGTTTGGCCTTGCAGACTTTGTTAAAAAATATTGGATTGCTCTGTTGCTTTTTAGTTGAAAAGGAGTTAATAAAACTAAATGTACTAGAAGAAATCCATGAAATCAGTGAACAGATAAAATGTTATTATTTGAAATGCATAATGTTGTATAATGGATGTGTATAAAGTGTGACAGAGATGGAAGTGCTCTCCAGACATAATGAAAGAACATGGATTCCTGTTTCCATAATTGAAGTTATTTCATACTTATCTGTTGGGAAAAAAATAGCAGAATTTTTTAAACAGATTTGCTTTCCATTAGTAATTATATTTAGCTGTAGCTCCAGATACCTTGCCAAGTTGTTTTTTTTTTTTAAAGTTGGAAAGAAGATGCATTTTCTTTCAAGATAATTAAATGTTTTGACTGTAGATTTTTCCTCCAGAGTGAATAAAGTATATGTGCGTTAGAAAAAAGTTTTAATTGCTCATATAGTTTATAAGAGTTATACAGAGGAAAACATTCTTAATCCCGTGCTTAATAATGGAATAGGAGAAAAGGGTCTAAATATGTTATATTCCACTTTTCTTTTTTGAAGTGTAATGAATTGTTATTAATAGCCATTAGAAGTACTTGCCATTAGTGGTCTGAAAACCATTGCATAAGGTGGACTTTTGCAGTTTCTCACATCAGAGTTTTGAGGTTTGATTAAACCTGTGGCTATACCTCAAGCCCTGGCAGAGAGATGAATATCAGCCTGGATTTTGGGCTCAGTTCTGCTCTGCAAGACACCACACAGAAATGCAGGAAGCCTTTGAACTCTTCCAAGTTCAGTCTGGCCCTCTGAATGCCTCCAGAATATAAATAATAAAAACCAGTATCACTTGATAATTCATCTCTGCTCTCAACTCTTGGCCTCTCTGGCAAACTGAGTTTTTGAACTTTTATTTTTCTTCGTACCCTGGTACCATGATCCGCAGCTTCTTTTGCCATGGGGATTCAGCTCTGCATTTCTGTAAAAGGCACTTAAACTGTTGTAGAAGGTTGTTTGCCTTCATCTGTCAGCCTCTTTGAGACTTAAAATGAGAACCATTTGTCAGTGGAATACAGAGATACCTACCTGCAATTCTCTCTGTCTCCCAGGCACTATAATGTCTGTTGACCTAGCTGGGCTTTTTGAAAATGATCTGTGAATCTACTGGGTTTTAGTAGGAGAGCTTTAGTTTTTCTTAGAAATAAAAAGGAAAGCTTGCTTTGTTTGTTTTGGGAAGGGCCTGTCTCTAATGTTATCAGCAGAGGTTTCTGGTTGAAGGTAATGGATTAAGGGATTTCCCCCACCTCTTCCCCCATCTCTGCCTTACAGAAATGGCATCAGATATTCCTGGCTCGGTGGCCTTGCCAGTGGCTCCCATGGCGAGTGGACAAGTGAGGATGGCAGGATCCATGCCTTCCAGAGGAGGAAAGCGTCGCTCTGGGTAAGCCATCTCCTTTTTTTTCAGGTCTGAAACTGGAAATTACTTGTATTGGAAAACTCAAAATGCACCTGAATACATGTGTGCGTTTATTATGTAATGTTATATTTATGTAAGCTGCATTATGACATTAGTCACTGATGTTTTGTTTTTCTCTCCAATGCATCTGTTCTTCCTGCAAGATCAAACTTGCTGATAAGCATATGGCTTGTTGTTTTGCTTGTTTCAAAAGATTTTCAGGTTTGGCAAAGCATCCAGAAAGGAGTTTGGATCCTGTGGCTGTTGTAGATATAATGAATGTGTATTGCCTATATCTGTTTCATCTCACAGTGATTTATCAAATGAAAAAAGGTAGCAAGATTGCAAATGAGGACTTACTCAACTTCATCTGAAGGTTACACTTGGAAGCTCTTAAAGAGAGGCCTGTTAAAGATATTTTCTTTATAGTTCCAGGTACAGAAATAGCATGAGAGCTCACTCTTCAGAGACTGTGGACAGCGATATTCTAGGTCTCACTGGAAGCAGTGCAGTCTTCTTCTGGGGAAGGGCCTGAATCAAATTCAGCCCTTACACAAGCTTGAGGGCTCTGCTAAAGAAGAAAATTTGTTTTATCTAGGGTCAGAGGCTGATGTGGTGTAGGGGTAGTTGCCCACATCAGATTGCTCTGTGGCAACTCATAGTAATTCTCTGTTAGGAGAAAAGTGTAGCAAGAGCTTGAGAACAGAAAACTACTCTCTACTGTTAAAAACTCCCTCCTCTTTTATCAAAGGTTGATCACAAGTAGTAGTGATCTTTCGATGATGCTTTCTCAGAGATAACTGATCTGAGAGTCTCTTCAAAAGAGATTGATTAGTCTTAGAGTTAGTCCTAAATCAGGCAGTGGTGGGGCTTAACAGGATCAACAGTGTGAGTGAAATCGTCACTGGCGAACACCGAAGGATGACATTATTCCTTGCAGGAGCTGCTCTAGGGATTGTTCACCAAGGTATGTTGCCAGTTTTGTGCGTCTGCTCCAGTAACACTGCTGGAGTCTCAATCTTGGAGTGAATTAACCAGGGGGAAGGTTGACCTTGCCTCGAACGCAGAGCAAGGTTGGTGTGATGTGAACACTCTGGATGGTTGTTCTGAGGGCTGTTCCTTTGGACAGAACAGTATGAATATCTCCCCCCACTGAGTGCCCTTCTTATGCTGAGCTAACTGTATGAAATTGGTTTGAGAAACTCCTAAAATCTGTCTTTGACAGGCATCACATTTTTATTTCCAGCTGCTCAATGAGAAAACCTTTTTAAACTTGCACTCAAAAGAAAAGACAAAGCATTAACATCTTTTCATTGCTACCTAACATAGATAAGGTTTTGTACTTGAATTGCAGGATATTTGATCTCTTTTTCGATCACAAAGCATGTCAGCTCTGAATATCAGTTTGAAATTTACTGTTACCACGGTTTGATGCTGCCGACTGTGAAATATTCTGATATTAAATACTGATTGGATACTAATTGAAATGCTTTAACTGTTGCATTTTAAGTATTGTCATCTATTTGTGAGAAGGTGAAGTGAGGGGAGGGTGGGAGGAACATAAAATCAAATTATTTTAAATGTCTTTAACATGTTAATTCAGTGAGTAAATTAGTATAGATTCCCTTTTATACCTGGGTCATGATATTTCATCTTTGCACCATAGCTCTGAACTAACTGCCTTTCTCCGAGCCTGAGCTGAGAATGCTTTTTTAATTGTTATTTTTATAATTTTTTTTAATGTTCACTCTGAATATATTCAGACCTTGAGGGAAAGAATGCCTGCTGTGTTTAATTCCTCTGAGCTTCTCTTTGTACAAAGTTGCAACTAACACTTGGTCCTTTCACTGCTGTTCTGGTGGTACATCTTTGTACACCTCAGTCCTTGGGCATTTTAGGAGTGTTCTGTGTCAAACATAAAGGAGTGGAGCTGGTGTACACAGCCATCTTTCCCAGATTTGGTTATCTCTGAAAATTGTTTCTTTTTTCATAATTGCTGAGGCAAGCTGGCAGAATAATTGCTGTGTGGACTTGAATGTAGATCAGTTTAAACTCATTGGCTGTCCTGGAGATGTTTCTGCCGTGTCGGCATTTGGCTTCATTGACAGCTTGGAAAAATATTTTTCCTTCCTATAAATTATACCAACTACTTCACAGAAAAAAGTGACAGCATAACATAATGCAGTGCAGTGGTCAATGACTATCTTAGATTAATGCACCCTCACTTCTTTATTTAATGAGGTTTTAATTCAGGCTTTGCTCTATTAGAGGATGAGGCTCTTTTACCTTCCTGGGCTCTCTGTACTTGGGCAGGGAGGGTTGGGGGTTTTTTTTATGAATTGGTTTCAGTTGCATTGGTTTTGTTTTGGTTCATGGTGTAGTCTTGCCTTTTCTCGGAAGCAGAACTATCAAAATCTGGGGAAAAGAGACCTCACTTCACCATTTGGCCCCTCAATATTGTGCTGAATAAAAGGCTGTAATACAGATCCCCATCTGCTTCTCAGCTGCATTTGCTCCTGATCATTCCTGCCTGCCCTCTTCCTACACTGTGTAATCATGGCAAGCATCTTTTGACATTTCTTGGGAATTTTATGTAGTAATTTTGTTGCAGTGTTGAAATCCTCTTGCAGGTCAATTTTTTTAACCTCTGCAGGTCCACCTTGTTTGGAGGCATTTTGGTTGGTTGGGGTTTTTTTATGAAAATGTTTCTAATTGAGAATAATTAATTTTTTTGAAGTATTTTTATTACTGTATTTATGGTAGCCACACATCTTCTAAGGAAAATGCATTTTAATAAGTACCTCATGCATCAGGCCTTTTCACGATTGATATGAACAGTATGAAAGAGGAAAACAAGATTTATGCTGTCTCTTCAAAACAAAAGAGCATAGTGCAGCTCTTTTTTAAAGCATCTTTTTAATGGGAATTTTAAATGAAGATAAAAGATAGTCTTTCTGAATCTTCTGAAGTGATGTCATTTGTCTTCTGGGAGGCTGCTTCTACTGTTTTGCTAATGTGCAGTATATTCTATCTAAACAGAAGATCTTATCTGTCAGGGTATGAGGAGGTTGATGGAATATTATTTTTACTTGTTCTGCTGTGTTTTACTAAAGGTTACAACTGATTCACTGCCTTTCCTTCTGCCTTGCTGTAAAGCAGACACAGTGGATCAGGCAGGACACTGGAGTCAATGACTTTATGTCTGAGGGGGTTTTTTTAATGTTTCAAAGGGTTTTTCATTTTGCACAGTGAAATTAGGAAATGTGTTATTAACAAAGATGGACCAGAGATACATTTGCTGTTGCATTTTTTTAGTGTTGATATTTTAAATGAAATTTATGTTCAATTTCCGTGTGAAATAAAGGGGTTTGGGTAGTTTGACAAAGCAAAGGCATTATTTAAAGACTTATTCTGGTGCAGACTGATGTTATACCTTATGCATTCAGATTCTGCTGTGATGACCCCACTGTAAATGTGGGAGGTGTTACCTAAGGATATTAACCCATCAAGAATCTCCTAAAGGAAGAAGCTGATACCCAACCATCTAAATAAATAGGTGTGTTAGTTGCCCTTATTCCCTCAGAGGTGGTGATACAGTGCAGGCAGCAGGATGAAGCCTTAAACTGTTATCATCATCTCTAATTCCCTGCATTGTATTCCAGTAATAATAAACTAGATTAAATGCAGTACAGCTAATATGTGATTTTGGGGAAAACCCATCCCTTAGCACTCAGCTGGGGTATTTGGCTGGAATCTAAATAAATCATAGAATCATATCCACCAAGGTGTGTGATCTCAGTGTACTGGAGAGGAAGGAAAAGAGTAACAAAATTAATCTGTCCCAGATTAAAGCAGTGTCCCATATAATCCCTGAAGAAAAGGCTTTCCCCCATAGGTGTGTAATTTTTTACAAAAAAAAATTAGCAGCCCTTTCCCCCCAGTTTGAAACTGTGTTTCTCTCAGATGTGTTTTAGCTGCCAGTGAGACCAAGTAAGGGTGTGATGCTTTTGTGAGTGGCTTCAGGTGAAGCCATCCCAGTGCTGCCCTCCACTTGTAAACAAACAGCTCTCCTTAACATTGACTTCTGCATTTTCGGTGCAGGTAGAAACACTCCAAATAACTGGGAAGGTTTTTCTGGAATGTCACATTATTACACGTTGGGAGGAAGCAGGTAGGTGGGAGGAGGCCCCGGGCTATAGCACATCTGTAAATGGTAAATTTCTGGGACTGCTGCAGGTCCGGGGGGATTCAGGCTGCTGGTGGCAGCACTGAAGCCACATTTGGGGTGCCAGCAGCAGCTGGGTCCTGGCTTAGCTGCAGCCCTGTGGCAGAGGTGAGGCCAGTGGCCACTGGGGGTCGGTGCTGTTCTGCATGAGGCAGCTGGGATCACGGACCTTGGAACCGGATTTGGTGGTAATTAGGTGAGCAAAGATGTGATTTATAGTGAAAACGATGATTGCATCAAAGCTAAGCAAGTTAAATACACAGCTTTTCTTAAAGCTCTTCGGGGAAAATGGTTTTCTCTTTGCTTCCTCCAGAAATGAATAATCACTGTTACCATCTGGAAAATATTATTGTAACTTTTCTAGTGCCATATCCAATTCCTGTGCTGACTTGCTGCCCTCATTCCAGTTGTATGGAGGTTGCTGTGACTCAGACACATCTTTTATGGCCCACTCTGTCTTGGTTGTCAGAATTTAAGAAGGAAGAATTTAGGAAGGCAGTGCCTGACTGGCACTTCTACTTCTCTGTGCTGATGTAGTTTTAGAGACTGTTTTTGCATCTTTGTTCCCGCCCTCTGGACATACAAATCTCAATTTGTCATTGGTAGGAATAATTTTAATACTGACATAAATATCATCATCACTTTGAAGAGTTTTTTCCCTTAATAGGTCTTATACCTCTTAATATGAACAGTGTTAGAGACATGGAATCTGCAGTTGTATGAAGTTTTACTACTCTGAAAGGCTGGAAAGCTTAGAATGTTAAAGAAATCTGAGAAAATGTTTGCAGAACAAAACTATAATTTCCTATCTACATAAATTAAAAGTGATCAAGGTCTGTATATCATACTAATGCATTTTTATTAAAATAAATACACTAATACAGTAACTGTATTTGATAGTTTTATATCAGCTTGACTGTCTAATGGCAGAGTTACATCCTTATATTTGGGGATATAAATATTTATCCACCTCTTTTTATAGGTATACAAATGTCTACAAATGCTTTGTGAATTATACTGTTGTATACTTTGTAGTGATAATACCTGTGATACAATCACACTGCCTAATACAGGAATCTAACTTAGATGTCTAAATTAGGAAGATACTCTTCCAAGTCTGTCTGTGTAAGAAGTGAAGAAAGAGGTTCCTGCTTTTTGTGGCTCCCTGGAGGAGACAAACTGGCAGGCTGGGATTTGGCCCAAGGAGGAACTCAGCTCTTCCACAGCCTTGAGAAGGTCTGGGACATAAATCAGCTGATGAGCTGCTCCTAGGCCTGGAGGGGATGAGCAAGGCTGGAATCCTCAGTCTTTAACACCTCTAGGCAAAAGACAAATCTTACAACACCTAGAACAGCTGGCTTGAATGTTCATGCCACCATTGCCAACGCCTTGATTGCTGATTTGGAAATCTTGCTTTTACAGAATGGACTTTGATGATGAAGATGGGGAGGGGCCCAGCAAATTTTCAAGGTGAGCATTTACAAAAGAGTTGGCCAAATCACTGATTTCTCTCAGTGGGGAAAGACAGCTGTCTCATTACTGATGTTTGAAAATCAGTATAAATATGTATGAAGAACTTGCCAACAACTTGACCCAAATACTAGTTACTCTTTTTATCAGCTCCCTCTGAAAATTAGGCATTCTGGCAGAAATCTGCCTAATGTAGTTATTGGCTTATAAAGCTGACAGTGTGTGTGTGTCACAGTTTCACTCTGCAGCTATATCAAATGAGAAAACATGTGATTTTTACCTTATTATTTCAACTGCTGTAGATGAACTTCGGTTATTTGACATTGCTGAAGTTGTCTTTTGGCCACTGAAAATGAAATCTCATTTCTAATTTATTTCAGGTGTTAATTGCTTGTTAAGACAATTTGACAGAGGTGGATTGTTTCTTTAAAGTTAGTGAGCTTTACATTATGTACCATTAGGTGTAACTGAATAGTAAAAATTGACAAAAAATGTTAATTAACATGGGATATTCAAAGCTAGAAATAAACAGTAAAGCCTCATTGCCATTTTTTTTCACTTTTCCTTTTTTCTTTTCCTGGTCACACTGTTTGCATTTTTTCATTAGAAACCAAGCAGCTGCAGTGAGGGGTGTAGGTACTTTGAGGCCTGTGGGTAACTGCTGATTATCCAAATTGTAATTGCAGCTCTGTATCAGCAACCATGTTGAAGCACAGCTGTCACTGTAGGGTTCAACAGGGTCGTTCCAGTCTGAAAGACAAGTGTGCTGAAGATCCACTGTGACACCATATCATCATTTATTGCACAAGACCAGCAGCACTCCTGTTTGGTTGATGTCATTTACAGAACCAGTCCCTGGTGTTAAAACTGGTGATTTGAAGGCTTAGTCCTAATGTTTCCTAGAAGACACATGTTAAGGGAACAAGATTTGTGATGAATGGGACCTGATTTGTGCCTGCACGAGCAGCAGGGTTTCTGGGCACACTGATACACATGTGTTGGTCCTTTCCCATTCTGGTTTTGTCCTTTCAAAATTTCCTGGTGGGTTGAGCTAATAATTCCATTGCTTTTAATGGGGAGACGTGCTGTGCTTAGACTGAGTTGATTTTAGGTGTCAGATCAAAATCTGATATTTAAATCTTAAATGCTGTATAGACCCCAGATTATTCTGTTTTTAGAGAGTACAGAAAAACCATGCAGGCACACCCGGGGCTATGTTCAGACATCCTCTTCTAGTTGTTCCCTTCTCCAGATTGCTCACAGACTTACTCCTAGCTTGTTTCAGTCAAAATTATTTAGTTGTCAAAGAGCTGCTGTTTAAATGTTGATGCTAACTCAGCTGCCTTTGACTGAAGTGCCTGAAGGAGCACATGTGCAGAGGTCAGCTGGGAGGGAAAAACCAGTATTTGGAGGCAATAACATCTTCAGTTATTGCAGAGAAGGATGAGTAGCCAAGGCCCAGGCTGGTGGTGTTAGCACAGTGCTCCATGGCAGGTGACACACTCTGCTTCTCAGGGCTTCCAGCTCAGCCCAGGTATCCCTGCATGACACCTCATCCTCACACAGAGCCTGTGCATGTGCTTCCCCTGTCATGTGCCCATTCCTCATTGAATTGGTCTTTTTGCTGAAAATTACTCAGCCTCAGTCTGTTCTCTGGGCAGAGTCAAGGGGAGTAAAGTGGCGTTGTCGCTTGAATGTTCTGAGGGTGCTCTTCTTGAACACAGCATAAAGAAATACAGCTCAAGGCTTGCTTAAGTGTTGTCTTCACTGTTTGAATGAGGAACTTGCATAGGTGGATCTCTTAAAATTAGTTTTAATTCATTTCAGACAGAAAAAAAGAAAAAGTTCATTATTGATTTTTTTAGAAGAGGAAAGCATGCTTATTAGGCTGCATTGCTTTCTTAGCTAATGCATGGGACCTTCATAAGCTGTCTGTTGTAACAAATTACATAATTTTTTAAAGTGTAATTTTAATACAAAACCTCATTTAACTGTTCTTGAGCAGTTACAGTCTTCACTTCTAGAAAAGCCATTACCTTATTTTTGTGTTTTCCAAAACATGCATTTTGTAGTTTGGAACTAGCAGTTTTGTTTTAAACAAATGAGTCTTTCCATAACTAGCAAAATCCAATTTCAAATGATTAGTGTGTTTTTTAGGAAAGAGAAAGAGGAGTAGCCTGTCAAAATGTTTTGAAATGTCACATTGCTGCCTGTCTTTGGGACAATGCTTTAGAAACAGTGAAGCTTTAGTCCCACAGGACCAAAGTCTCATTGGTCTGGATTTCCTCCATAAAGGTACTGCTCAAACACTGCACATACCTGCCTGGGCATCCAACTTCTGTTGATTTGAGTAGGAATGAGGCACCTGTTTACTTCTAGGGAATTAAGCCAGTTTAAATTTCACTTCTATTTACACAGCAGTTTCACCTGCGTGCCTGCCTTTTACCAGCCTCCAGGACAGTCAGTACAGTGTCTTTTTCCAGAACTTTTTCCTGAAGGCTCCCTTACATAAGGCATCACCCTTCATCCGTGTCTCTGCCCTCCTGTGTTATCTGTAGACCATCAGTGCCCTCTGCTGAATGGAGGGAGATGTGGTTGCAAGCTGGAACAGATACAGCCCGTTCACTTCCAGCACAGCATTGAATATTTCATGGCCTGCTGTGGATAAAAGCTCACTGGTGTTTTCTGTACTGGTGCTGCTTGTTAAGTTTCCCAAGAAATCAGTGTATGTCAAAGTTTTTGCTTAAATCCACTGAAATGTGTCTTCTAGTTTTTTTAAGATACAAATGAAGTTTCTGAATCGGCATGGCTTGGATCAGGCTCTATGTTTTCTTTGCTTATCATTCTCATTCCCCTGTTTTACTTGCTGTTATTTGTAATGGTTTGCAGTTGTGGATTTTTTGCTTTCTGCTGTGTGTTGGTTGTCATCCAATGCATAACCCCTGTTGATTGATGTACTATCTTTTGTTTTAGGTATGATGGTGATCAAATCACTGGTGATAAGGAAAAGTTTGCAAGGTAGGCGTGTCCTGTAGAGCTCTTCTGCTGAGAGAAAAGAGGGGGATGTTCGTGTCCAAAAAATCTCAGTACGTGTGCCTTAGCTTAGAGAGATGGTTATTCTCTTTTTGGTGGGATGATGATCAAAGTACTGCTGACTCAGAAGGGAAAGGTAGGAAAAAGGGAAGTCAGATATGGTTTGCCCCCATTTTTCTTTTATATGATGCTGTTCATACTGAGCTTTTGGCTGTTCCAAAACTGCTTGAAGTCAGAAGTACAAACCCATAGTGGTTTTGGATTGGCTCCCCTGTATCCCAAAATTTAATGTCCCTTCATAATTTCAGTATAAAAACAAAGATGGAAATGACAGAATTAGGACATAATTCTGTACATGGTTGTCAATGCCAGGGTTCCTAGGACACACACTTCAGAAGAGCAGCACAGCCCCTCTTTTTCTTTAAAGGCTTTAAATTTGAATTAGTTTCAGGAAACTTTTGGGGTATTGTCTGCTTGAACATTTCCACAGCCAGTAGATTAACATGCTACTACTTTCTAGCTTTTAAGATCATAAATGAAGTGGACTATTGGGATACTCTTTTTCTCTCAGGAAGTTTTACAGTCTCTTTGTTTAGTCTCTATAATGGTGGTTTTCAATGTCCAGAAGTACTAAAATACTTGAGTAGTAGACAATGTATGATGTACTTATAAGTGTGAAATATATGTTGAATCTGTCTGTTCTTTGTCTCTCTCTCTTTTTTTCTTAACCACCGCTTCTGTGAAAATGCTGAACTTAGAGCAAGCTTTCATCATGTAAAAATGCTTTTATCTTCCCTGTGTCCATATTTATCTGCATGTACCAGCTGGCATGTACACACGTGTGCTCTGTGTACATGTGCACTGTCACACCAGCTGTGTGTATGACCCAACTCCCCCTGTTCCCTCCTACATCTGTGCAGACCCACACAAGGGCTGTTCCTCAGCCAGGTGAAATGAAAGGTTCATGTTACAGTGTCCTGGACAGTGATCTCAGGCAAGGCTTGGCTGTAATTTACTGAGCAGCCATGGGCTGTCATAGCTGGATTTTCTGCATATCACACAGTAAGCATAGGAATAATAACTCTGCTTGTAGCCCTAACAAATGTTGTTTCTGCAGACTGTGCCTCATGCGTGTAACACCTGTATGTGCAGGGGCAGGAAAAAGCAGGGCAAGCCCTTGCATTCCTCTGTTTCAAGAAGCAGCATACAATTATTTCCTGCATTTTAAGAAAAGGCTTAATTCGTAAAGCATCCAAAAAGTGTGCCAAGCCTAGCTCCTGCTTTCATGGTCAGTCTTCATAGCAATCAGCTCCAAAGAATGTTGCAGTTTCTTTTAATGTTGTGTTATCACATCAGTCAATGCTGGTGGACTCTCCAAGTGATCACCTCTCACATCTTGTTGGATCAGCCAGCGATCCCACAAGACAATGCCATGCACAGCTCATTGAAATCAGTGGAAGATGCTGCTTTGACAACTGAAGCATCATCTACCTGTCGTGTACTTGTATTTAGCTGCCACCTGACAGGTACAGTATGAGAAGAATAAGTGCTGGGCACTGAAGCATTCTAGGTCCATTTGGACCATTTCAGATGTATATATTGGTATGATTCCTTAATGCTGATCAAGCAATGGTGATTTCCAGAATGGGAAAATGGAACTCTGAGATGTTTATTTCTGAAAGATTCTGGTGGGTGTCCATTTTGAGATTTCTCAAATTTGACTCACCACCTCAGCCATATGATTCCTCTAAAGAATGAGAACATTGCAGCCTAGCCCAGCTTGGGGCAGCATCAAGTACTGTCATTGTTGCTTCCCTGCTGTGCTAAATTGTCCCTGAACATTAATTCTGGTCTATGTCTGACAAGCCAGCTGTTTACTTGCTGTCTTTCGTACTTATTTTATTTATTTATTGGGAAATTTTTTTTCTGGTATGTACTGTTATCCCATATATGGTCCCAGTGATGCAGTCTGATCCTGCAGGCATACAGTGACTTCCTGCAGGGATGTGGGGTGTTCCAAACAGCATTGTTTGGGATCTGTGTTGTCACTGAGTGGGCTTTTTTCATAAGTCAGTGCTGATGTTTCCTGCTGACCTGATCCAGTTGTTAGCGAGAGGTTTCCTCTAAAGGACACCTTTTATAAGCACCTGAGAGATGCATCACAGCAAATCTGGGAGTTTGACTGGAGTTGGCAGATGTTAGCTCCTCACATATTTCTACTTCATTTTTGTCCTTAAACCAAAGGAGATTAAACTGGTTAAGAGATTAAGGCTACAAGCCAATAAATAGAAATACAAGTTCTTTTCATGGCTATGGGCAAATCATATTTATCTGTCTGTGGCCTGGATTTTCTGTCTGTAAAGGGAGGGATAACAGTGGTTGGCTTCGTAAAGCACTTTCCTCTCCTGGGGTGCAAACAGCAAAACAAGTGCGAAGCATTATGATTCATTACCTCCAACTGAGATTCTTACACCGCTCACGCCTCTTTTCTGTTGCTTTGGTGTTTCTTTAAATGCTCAGGGAGAATCACAGTGAGATTGAGAGGCGCAGGAGAAACAAGATGACCCAGTACATCACCGAGCTGTCGGACATGGTGCCCACGTGCAGCGCCCTGGCTCGTAAGCCCGACAAGCTGACCATTCTTCGCATGGCTGTTTCCCACATGAAATCCATGAGGGGCACTGGAAACAAATCTACTGATGGAGCTTACAAGCCTTCCTTTCTTACAGAACAGGTAGAATTTACAAAAATGTTGGTTATCCCTAGTTTTTTTGGTCTTAAAAGGTGTGAGAAATGCTGAGAGGAGTAGAGCCTCAGCTTGATCCTTCACTGTAGTGTAGCAGCTGGTACCAGTTACATATCTAAGGTGTGAATACAGACAGTTTTTTTGTGGCGTTTGGACTTGATCTTAACACTGACAGATCTTTCTTTTTGGAGAAGCAAATTGGCATTCTTACCATTGAGATCTGTCCATCTGAAAAACAAGTCACTCACTGCCTCACAGAAAGGAATTTTCACCTTCAGATCTGGGTTCTTCCCATCCTAACAGATTCTCTAAAATAAGTAAAAATGAGTCTGGAAAGACTTGCCTCTCTCTCTGGGAATTAGAGGAAGGTTGAAAACATCATTTAGTCTTAATGCTGGAGCTCTCAGCAGCTGAACTGGGCAGAGATGAATCCCATCTCTACTGGCTGAGGTACTTAGTTGCATTTTTGGTGGAAGAAGGAAGATGTACCCAGTGCTTGAAGGAAAACTGTGTTTACTGAGCACATTGAAAATTCCTACTACCTCCATTGTTTTCGAAGTCCTATGGGTGTAGTGTTCATTTTTGTGGTCTGAAGTGATTTAAGCACTTACACATGGAAGTTATGGCTGGAGGCAATACTTCTTTCTCTTAGATAAACAGCAGCTGCTGCTGACCTCTCAGTGCTCACGACTGCTTATTCCAGTTCTCCTGGAGTGTGTTTCTGGAGGAACTGTGCCATTCTGTTAGTGGCACACCCTGGTCACTTCTTACTGCAATTTTTTCTTTTTTTAAATCTTGCAGAATTACAGAGTTTGCTTTCATCTTTTTTAATAATGTGCAAAACTGATTATACTATCCTCAGTATAGTGTGGCCAGCTGTGCTATGAGGTTTTTTGTTTAGTCAGTAATTCAGGATCAATGTGCTTTCTGTATAACAAAGCAGCAGAAGCTGACAATCTGTTGAGTGTTTCTTGAGATGAGTTATCCATTTCTTAGTAGTTAGCCAGATTTTTATCCTCACCTTATCAGCTAATACCTACCACTGGCGCACTAACCCTGCTGAGCCGTCCCGCCTGGAATGGAGCTCTGTGTTTGGCTTCCAGGTGCAGGATCTTAACAAGCTCTGGTGGTCACTGGAGCCACCAAAGGCTGTTCCAGCTTCTGTTGCAGGAACTGGAGTGGTAGTTGTCATCCTTTGCCATGACAGCTTTTCAAGCTCTGTTAAGGAAAGGGAGTGTTTCTGGGTGATGCTGAGGCTTCATACTCACAGGCTGGAAAACCTCCAGAACCTTCGTGTGTAGTGGCTCAGGGGCCTTAATGGAAGAAGAGGCTGGAGATTCTTTCCTCATTCCCATTACACTTTCTGCCCTTTATCTGGTGACTGTTTAATTTACAAACAGAGCTCATCCTGAGCAGGGCCAGGGAGAACCAAACTAGAAAGTCTTATTGCCTTCTTTCCAACTAAATTATTCAGAACTTTTAATTAAGGGATGAGTTTGCCATGAGTTAGAGCTGTTCATTTCCTCTGTTTGTACTCTGAAATATCTTTTTATTTTTTAATGTTAGATGCCTATCACAGATTGTACAGTGAGTATTAGTTGTTTATTTTCCTTAAGTGCATGGAGATCACCAGATGAAAGGCAGTAATGGAAAATAAAACGTTTGTTATTGAGATGAGCAATTTATGCCTTGCTGCAAGTTTGGTTGTATTGTTACATCAGTGAAAATTTCTGTCTCAGTTTTGATCAGCTAGTAAGATCACAAGAAAACAATATTCTCTGACAGTGACAGACATTATATTTAATTCCCTTTCCTTGCTGGCATTCTAATCAAATCCTTTCTTTGGAAGGAACTGAAACACCTTATCCTGGAGGCTGCAGATGGGTTCCTGTTTGTAGTTGCAGCTGAGACGGGAAGAGTGATCTACGTGTCAGACTCTGTGACTCCTGTGCTGAACCAGCCCCAGTCAGAGTGGTTTGGCAGCACTCTGTACGAGCAGGTTCATCCAGATGATGTGGAAAAGCTGCGAGAGCAACTGTGTACATCTGAAAACTCCATGACAGGTCAGATATGGCTGATGGATGCTTCTGTGTGTTCAAGATCCCTGGAGAGCTTTTCTGACATTCAGAGTGCCAGGTGTAAGAATCTGGTTAAAGTGAAACTCGGCTAGATTAAGCTGTGTTTTCTTGCAGGCAGTACAAATCTTCTGTTGAGTGACTGCATTTTGCTTCCTATTCATTGACTTCAGTCAAACCACCTTCGTGTAGCTCTGCATTCAAAATCTAGTTTGGAATCTGGATTGTTCTCAGGCTTGGTCTGGAAATCTAGATTGTTTTCATTTCATCCTCAATGAACTTGTGACTTCTTTACAAGTATGTGTTTCTTTAGGCAGTGTTAATTTGAAGTCAAAAATCGTACTTTAGACTTTTCTGTTTTCATACAAGTTCCTTGTGGTTTGCTAACTGGAATCTTGAGGGGAAAAAATCCAGTGTTTGGCAACTGAAAATATACTGGATTTTAATCATGAGGCTCCTGTGCAGTAGTGTAAGTTACCTGAAAGTTGATTACCTATCATGTTGCATGTAAACCTAAACCATATTCATATCTACAACTCTGACTTTTACAGTTGTTCATGCTCAAAGCTGCCAATAGGAAACTACCTTGTCTTTAATAGGATATGTATGTTAGAGCTGTGAGAATTAGCTAAATCCTGTTGTAACTCAAACTTGGAAAGGAGGAAACTTCTCTTTTTAGTCTTCATGTATTATGTTTATAGCTGAAGGACAAAACAAGGGGATGATATTTAAAAAACCCCTGATCCTTGCAGAAGTCACATAATTTCTCTTTGCTCTAGTAGTTAAGATTTCTGACCTGGTTTGCTGGAAGTTTTGTTGAGTTTCATAACTCAAAGGACAGCGATCCAGTTTTGAGTGAACCTGCACATTGTTTACAGCTTCCATGTCAAAATAGTGCCAAATTCATGATTTCCCGTGGTTTGAATGTGATGTGGTTTTGGCAGAGCTTTCGTGTATTCAAATGGGAAGCTCAAAGCAAAATTCTGTGGTGAAATTCCAGATGGATGGAAACCAAGTGAACAGTTAGGGGAACCTGTGCAGGGCAGAACAGCTGAGTTGCATACCACGAGACTTGCAAAAGAGCACAGCCTTTGTTTTTATTATGCAGCCTGTAATACATTTTAGCATACATACCATCTTGTCCAAGAAACAATTACTCCAGAGCCTCAGTGAACAGTCATGTTTTGACTTCCAGAAGTGCTCAGTTATGGGACTTAACCTGATCAAACTAGAGCTGGACTAGACAAATGCAGAGCACTTCTGAAAACCCGACTCTGTATTTTTTCCAACCTTAGCTATGAGCTTTTCTTCCACACTGAATTGATCTGTGGCCAGTGGAAAGAGAAGTTCAATAGTATTTATAGAGCTAAATGTTTTCCCTGCCTGAATCTTTTGGAGTTGTCAGATTGACACAGAAGGCCTGTAAATTTGGTGTACATGGACAGCTGAACAGTTGCCCAGCATGAGGAAAGCAGGGCTGCCTGCTCAGCTTTTTGAGTACTGTTTTAAAGGTGTGGCTGGTAAAGTACAGTAATTTTGTTGACAAGTAGTTCTGTCAGTTTGTGGAGCGTACAGACCACCAGAAAGTTCTAGATTTATTATTTTAAACTTCTATTTCCTCCACTCCACAAGGTACCGCTAAATAAGAGACGCAGTCTTCTATAGGTACTGTCATTCCAGCCTCAATTTGTTTATAAGCAGCAGGCACCATCACTCTTGCTCCTTTGAGATACCTTTCTAGGAGAAAGGTGATTCTAGAGTCCATTCAGCCAGTTACACTTCCCTTGCTGTAGCACAGCAGCTTTGAGAGCAGCAGCTTTGTAACAAGTACTGAAAGAAATCTTGCAGGGACCTGAAATAATGTGTGTCGTAGTGACATTTTAAAAGATGTCAAGGAGGCAAATGCATTTCCTCTAATTTGGTGTTTATTAAACAAAGTTTTCCTTGGCTTTCCAAAGACATGTTTCATGCAGAACAAAGGGCAATGTGGAGCTTGAAAGGGATGGAAACCACAAGCCAGCCAGCTGCATCTAGAGTGTTTTTTGCTCAAAGTGAAGTTCACTTCAGGCAGTAGGAATATCCTCATCTTGTAGTGACGTCTGGCTGTCAAGCACGGGATCTGCTTAGGGAAAAGATTTTCAAGTGAAAGTGTAACAGTGTGTTATGATTTTTAATTTTGCTCTTTTCCTCATTTTCTCAGGGTCCATTTTCTCAGTGCTATAACCTCCCCCTCAGTTCTTGAGTTGGGAAAGCAGTGATAGCATTTAGACTAAGGAGAAACTTCGCTTGGCCTGCAGCAGATCCGAGCAGTGTCCTTTGGTTGTAATTCTCTTGTTACAAGTGCTGATCATTAGTGTGGTATTGCTGGGATTTTCCCAGCACCTCTTAGCAGTCCTGCTACCCAGAGATGCTGTTCCAGACCCTGAGAACTTGGGAGACTGCCACTGCCAATGGGGAGAGACAGAGAACAAGCCACTGGAGGAAGCAGGCTCCCGCTCACATTTCTGCCCCCAGGAATAAGGCTGGGACTGGGGCTGTGCTCACATGAGCATTTCTTTGGCAGTCACACAGCTTATGCAATCCTCACCTCATTTCACCCTCTCCTCCTTTGGCATTTCTGTGGTACTTACATGTGAGTCACATCAAGGGGTTGACCTGCTGAAAGCTAAACTAGGTTAAAACCCATTGGTTTTGGTAGAGACAGTTCTTTGGCCCACCTGATCATGGGGTTTCTCAAACTCTTCTGAGTGCTGACACCAAGGAGAAGCAGGAAGTGAATAGTTAGGAGGAGACAGGACTTCAGAAGCTGTAAAATGTATGTCAAATTGAAGTGCCTGTTAACCATGGCTTCAACCATGTTGTGTGTTTGGGGAGTTAATTGCTTGCTCTTCCTTGAAATCTTAGGATATGGGGAAGGATGGATAGTTTATATTTAATTTTGTGTCCTTGGAGATTTTATTCCCTGGAATTGGAACAATTGTCTGCCTGTTTATTGTGCATTAATTGCTAACACATTGCAGCAACAGGAAAGCTGAACTGTGAAGTGTATGAACAGTTAGAAATAATCTAGAAAAGAGCAGCTGAGCTGTGATGATGGCAAAAAATTGAGCTCCCAAGAAGTTTTTATGTGCGTCATGTGCATGATTAATCAGAATGGGGCAGATATTCAGAGTGATAATTCATTTTTGCTCTTTGTTCTTGAAAATCTGCAGATGTCAAAATAAATCACTTCAAATATGGATGAAGATCAGATCCCATGGGAGGATCCATTAGCAAAGACCTCTTTGAGCTCAGGGTGCACTGGTGGAACTTGGGGGATGTTGGGTTCAGGTGCAGGCTTGGTCCCAGTGCAAGTGAGAGCCTCTCAGTTGCAGACAGCAAATCTCTAATGGTACAGGGAACAAACAGAACTTAGATTTAAGTGTAGAGAAAAGCCACTTCTGAAGAATTCCTGTGCTACATTAGCTTTCAAAAAAAAAAGACTGAAAAAGTATTGTAGTAGATTGTCCTTCTGTTAAAATGCAGCATTCCAGAGCACTTTGCAAGACTGATTTCTACAAATCTAATTCTCCATAAGTAGTTCATTAAAAAATAGAGTGATGAGCACAGACACCTCTGTATGGTTGCCTGGAAATATTCCCAGTGATTCCATGATGTGTCTGAGATGTGCTTGTAAGGGCTGTAAGATGCCTGTTCCTGCACCCAGCATCTCCAGTGGTGCAAATGGGAAACATTGGGTTTGTTATCCTCAATCCTGGGCTGCAGGCAGCACAGCACATGGAAATCAGTTACAACATCCCCCTTCAGCCTCAGCCTCTGTGCCTAGGTGAGGCAGAGAGGAGCATTTGCCATCCCACCCATGCCACAAAGGCTCCTCAGGACAGTTGGGTTCTCCAGGAGTCCTTGCAAACTGTTCCAGCTGAGCAGTTAAGGGGTGCTAAAAGTGCAGAGCAGTGGCTGCAAGAAAATTATGAGAACCAGAACCTTTTCAGCTTTCATTTTCAAGTGATTTAAAAATGACTAAGTCACTTCACTTGCTAGCTGACAAATATCAGTTGAGGTTACTTCTGGACAGAACTTGTATGCCAAGTTTAGTCTTGGCAAGATCTTTTATTGCCATATTTTTTAAGTGCGACAAAGTAGAACTTTATGATGGAAATGGTGACTGACCACAGCAAAAGTTGAGCTGATAGGCACCCCTTGAGAAGAAAAAAGCATTGTGTGACAATTTTCTGTGGTGTATATTATGGAAACATCACTCCATGCTATACAAGCATAGATTTGGACTGGAGAACCTGTCTCACAGAACCTTCTAATAACATGTTATCTTGCAGTGATTTCAGCTTGGCAGTTTTCTGTCCAGCTGCAAACCCTTGTTACCAAGCAGTTTTATAGACACAGCCACAAAATCCAGATGTTGTAGATAGAGTCAAGTTGTAAAAATTAGAAAACTGTTAGGCTCAAAAGAGGGAGGTGCCAGAGACCAGGAGCTCACCAATGGAGAGGCAGAGTAAGGCATTCCACAGCACTAACAGATGATAAATAACCATGTGAAAGAGAAAATTTGGGATAACTTTTCTCCTCAACACATAATCTTCCTGAAATTAAGTGCAGGATTTTTTGTGCTGTGAGCTGCCTTATTCTGCCATGTCTGTTTTCCAGCTCTGATTTCTGCGCGATCTTTCTTAGAAGGAAGAGGATGGTTCTCATATTGACAGCCAGCCAAGTGAATGCAAATGTGTTTTGAACTCTGACTTTCCATGAATTATTTAGAACTCCAGCTGATACAGAGAAGAGCTGGATGAGACTCCTGTTTGGCTTCACATATAAAATTCTCCAAAGAAATTCAAAGACTGAGTTGAGCCATGACAAGAAACACAGTCCTGGCAAATACAATCCTGTTCTGCCTTAAATGTCATCATCAGTAATAGTAAAACTCATGTTTCATGGAATAGTAATATATTATCAAAAGAATGTATGGGTTGAGT